CCCCAAAACCCCAAAACCCCAAAACCCCAAAACCCCAAGGTATTATTATAGTAAAAACTTTCAAATATGAAATATAAACTGATAATAACATAAAATGTGGAACATGGTGAGACAAAATCGAATTATCGATGAAAGAGAAAAAACTAGAGTAAGCAATAATTAATAAATGCTTTTATTCAATTATTGACTGTCTTCATTTAGGATCACTATCTCCATGTAAGCAGGCTGATGAGCATAAAACCCTCTGTCGACGTCAAGAAACCTGTAAAGCCAACTTGCATTAAGAATAAATTAAAGAAGGAACTTCTTACATAGAGTAAATATACGATTATTAAGTATATGTCTTTAGTGAAGAGCAGCGAAATTCAGCATGAAAATCGTTTATTGCTGAAGAAAATGCTGTAAATTGACTTGAAGCCTTAGAATCTGAATCCAAAGCGTTTGCTATAACAAGACTAATATTTTGTAACTTAAAACAGCTAGCAGAGGATTGGTATTAATTCTTACCACTCCCTTAACAGAGCAATCAGGATTAAAGACATGGCAAATGTTGTAGATCACAACAAGATACTTCTAAAAAAGCTATAGCAAACTAACTCATTTTACAATTTCAATGAATATGAGAAGGACAACAAGAACAAGAAGAAGCTTAGTCGAATGATTTCTAAGAACAGTGACAGATTTTGTAAGAACCCCTACTTTTTACACTCAATGGCTACAACAAATATCTCCACTTACAATATTTAAACTATGGACCCAGAAAGCATTAAAGGTGGAAAGAAATCCTTTTTCAGCTCATCAAGAAAAAGATCATCTAATAGAACACTTGAGATTAATATGTCTGCTAATGATATGAACCTTGGAGAAAAGACAAGCGCTCCAAGATTACCCAAGCAGAAAAGAATTAGACCAATGAGTGCCCCAAAATACGGTTTTTCTAATCTAAATGGATTCAGACTAAGGACTAGGTATGATAGCAATGACCTTGGAAAGATCAAAAGTTAGACTTATGGTCAAGGCAGATTTTCAGAATCAAACACACTGCCTTATATTGAAAATGACCCTTATAGCGTTGGAGGAGGGACTATAATTAATTTACAAGATGATAATCAGCATGCTAATCATTAGCTTAACATAATAAGTGAGGGTGAAAACGAGGGGCCTGCTGGTGTTTATGATTAAATTAACATTAATTTGCCTAGCAACTAAGATGGAAGAGGATATCCTATAAATAACTACATGTAAATTGAGAGCAATAATCTTCAAGAAGTAGATCCTAATGAACTTAATGACAATGAAAATTTGGTCTCTGATATTCAAAATTAAAACATTTGAAATATCACATATTACTCTCTTTTAGAAATAAATGAATTTAAGTTTTCGAATTAGCATTTGATAAATGCACTTGGGGTTTTGGGGTTTTGGGGTTTTGGGGTTTTGGGG